TTTTTCAAAATAGATATATTTAAAAATACACATGAGGATACAATGTTTCATGAATTTATTCTAATATAGAGTAGTTTAGGAAAGACAATATTTCTTTTATTTAAAAGTATAACCTAAGTTGTTGAAAATTCTTATGATAACAATAAGATATCTTCTCCATTTGTATAAACATTGTGAAATTTTGCTTATAAAAATATGTTTTTGGGCTGGGGATTTAGCTCAGTGGTTCTGGTGCCTGCCTTGCAAGTGCAAGGTCTTGAGTTTGATCCCCGGTACCAAAAAACAAAAAACAAAAAGCAAAGCAGAAATACGTTTTTATGCTTGTACTTGGATTTCTATGACAAAGTAATAATATATTATAATATCCAATAACTAGGAGAAATCTAGAGATCAGAATAATGATATTTATTGCTATAGAAGTCTGAATTTGATGACATATAGTAAGACAAAAATATCAATGGTTGGTCAATATTTTATAGTTTAGTCCACTGTATCATTTAAGTCAATATTTTAAATACAGTGGACCCTCAAGTTACGATTGGCCTGACATACAAACAACTTGGGTTATTGTTAATGGAAGATTCATCTGCCTCTTATCTATAGCATGTATCCAGTAAACATCCAGATTCCAGCTGTACTGACTTAGAACCAACTTGAGTTACAACCTGCCCTCGGGAACTGATTGAATTTGTAAGTCAAGTGTCTGCTGCATTTCACATCATGAGAGTTTTTCCAGAACTGCTTAGAGATTATATAATTATATTTATCCAATAACTGGGTTCGCAGTTTCCAAGATCATTTGAACATGGGGTGGAAGATATTTCAACACAACAGAGGCTGATAAAGAGTAATAAGAAGCATTCTACAGGAGGCAAAGACATCAAAATATTAAAAAGTAAAGGTAACTAATTAATAGTGTTGGAATAAGAAGGGGAACTTAGTCAAGTACTAGATTTGCCAGTTTATTTTTAGAGGTAGAGTAACTGTAAGCAAACATCGATGCATTTCAACAAATGTTTTTAAGACCCATTTAATCTCCAGACTCTCCCTTTAGAAAATAAATAGCCTAAGAGAAAACTCTACTAATCAATTTGGCATACCCAGCAATGGCAATTTTGTCAGTGTTTTACTTGGTGAAACCTCCTGTTCAATGTCAAGTTTGAAAGCCTTAAAGGAAATAACAGTGTGTCCTGGGTGGCAAAGCTGATGGTATGACCATGACAGCCCTTCCTTTGTCTTCTTTTCATCCAATTCCCTCCGAATCAGTCACCTCTATGTTCACATAGGAGCTTTGATAAAAGAGTTATGTTAAGGCTTGATCTAGATAAAGTGGAAGCAATACTGAACTGTCAGTGGAAACACTGATAGAATGTGTGCTGAAATAAAAAGTCCTGCTCCTTACAAAACATGCTACTTTTCTTTTATTCTGAACATGCAAGATAATTTTAAATTTCTCACCCCATTTGTTTATGTATAATGACTTATATTCTTAGGAAATCTAGCACACCTGTGCTCTCTCCTCTGCATTTCAAGATGTATCATAGGAGTTTATTTTGACATATAAACCCATTTGTCAATTATCTTGTGGCACCTTCATTTTTTCCTGATTAAAATGATATAAAAAACTAATATTGTAATTTTTCATAGTGTGACCAGTTTAATTACTTATGAACTATTAAGTTTGGTTGGGTGATTTGTCTCATTTAAATATGAAAAGAAATAACCTTGAAAATTGCTGTTTTACTGATCAGTAGAATTATATATCATGACTAAAAATCTGAGACCATGCTGTCCAACTTTTGAAAAATTTCAATTGGGTAAAATAATCTGCTCTAGTTATTAAGCATTGGGAATGCTTAATGGAGTAATTAAATAGTACTTACTCAAGGGGTTACTCAAAGATGATCTTAAGATTAAAAGCCCTCCTACTTCTCTCCTCCTTTGCCTGTAAAACTATTATAGTTAGAAAAACAAAGTTTATTCATTATCTAATAGCAGAGGTAAGAGTGTGATCTTTAAAATATTAAACACATCTTTATAAAATTGCTCTTTATCTATTATTGTAGTCATCCAGGAAAGTAATTTCTTCACAGATGACTTGGTTTTAGCAATAATAAACCAATCATTTTATTGTAGAAAATAAAAATATTGACACATTTTCTTACCCTTTTTTCTATTTTTCACCATATCATTCTTTCTTCTTCTTTCACTCCTGTTTTTCTTCCATCTGCTTTTCTTCTGCTCATTTCTATCTTTAAAAAACATTTTAAAGATAGAACCATTTATGCATCATTTTAAAGCATTTGTTCTTATATTCATCTTTGCTTGCATGTTTCTGCTTCCTTTTTAAAACTAAAAATATGTGCTTTAGTATTCTTCACAAATAAATTATCTAGTTATTAGTCATATAATCATATAAGGAAAATATTAATTTATATATATATATTCATAGGGTTTGGCACTGTGAGGTTTCAAAGAAATATGTTGTTTTAGCCCTGTTTCCCCTGTGTTCATACTATTGCAGAGAAGTTAAGACATGTAAATAAAGAGGTGCACCCTTTGATGCTGAGTGTCACAAAATGCAGTTTGTGTTGATAGAGATTTCTTTAAGCAATCATTCTGAAGATCTAGTGCAAGTACTTTGGTCTGTAATGATAATAATATGCTTTGTAGTGATATAAGGGTCACTTTTGGACTGAAAAGAAGGCAATGATGTTCCTATCTATTTAAAAGTCAGAGACTACAACAAGTCCTATCACTGACACTCTGAAGAATTTTTATAGGAATTCACTATGCTTAAAAATCCACAGATATGTATCTCAACTGCTTATTGAATTGTATACAAAATCCCACAGAAGATCACCTCATCATAGTGAGCACAGGGGTACAGACATTTGGTATTAAAGATCAAAATGATGCCATTTATAAAAAACCAAAGGAGCAGTGAGCTTAGCTTCGATCAAGAAAATACATTTTCTTTAAAATACAGAAAAGAATCCGTCTTCCAGGAGCCAGTGTGGATACAGCTAAAAATAGGTAGTTAAAATAACAAACAATCCCATATGTTATTTGAGGAGAGGCATTGTTTTTGTTCTTTATTGCTGCATAACAATAGCAGCACACACTCTGTGCTTTGAAACAACATCACATACTGTCTCAGAGTTTGTGTGTGTAAGAAGCCAAGAACAGTTTCTGTGTGAGTCTTACCTGGATTGAAATATTGACTGGGACTGTGAGAACATTTGAGGTAAGAGCTTCCTCAGGCTGTTGGCAGCTTTCAATTCCTTACATGCTGCCAAGCTGAGGGACTGAATTCTTGCCCGGTTGTTGGCTGAAGGTCACCCTAGGCTCCTTTCTGTATGACTGTCTCCATCTGGTGGTTCACAACATGGCACCTTGCTTCTTCAAAGGAGGCAGAGAAGAAAGTCATTTAAGAAGGTGAATGTTTACACTCCTATATCATGCAATAATACACTCATACTAGCATATATCTTGTTATCTTTGCCATATTCCATTTGTTAGAAGCAGTAAGAGTTCCGGCCCACACTTGAGGTGAATCAGGAAGCAAAGAGGTTAGAGACCACCTTAGAGTTTGACTACCACAGACTTTAAGTTAATTAGTTACAAGGAAATTAAAAGCCAAAGAATAATTTTATATGAGTCTTAATTCAACATCTCAGAATTATCAGAAGCTACACTAAATATTAGTTCTGTTAATTGACTGATTTTTTTCTACCAGAAGGGCTTTAGAATTATTTAAGAATGATCCTCATATGTACTTCTAACATAAGAGCAACAAAAAGGTAGTAAAAACACTCCACCTAGAGAATATATAGAGCTGATAGCTTTTCAGTTCAATTCATAAGGATATGTGACTAATTAGTACAGCAGGTGTTCTTAAAATAATTCTTAAAATTGTTCTATTTCTACATTTATACAATTTTCAAATACTAGTTTTTTCAGTGAAGTAGTGCTATCAATTACTTATTTCCATTTTCTCCTACTAGTTCCAATTTCTAACATAATGTTCTAAGTGAAAGATAAACATAGGAAAAAGATGAAAAGAAGGATGGGAATCATAGTTAGAAGATGATGATAAGAGACTTTCAAAATAACATGGATATTTTCTACTTTGTTTTGTTTTGAGGCAAAATGAAATCAGTTAGCAAATGATATTATAATTTATATTATATTTTTTGAAAGATGTACAAACTTTTTAAATAAATATCAAGTTCTTTGAGAAAGGATAGAATATTTTATAACTGAATGAGTTAAAGAAAATTAATAGTAAGATGACTTAAATCGTTTACTTTTTTAAGAAATCCTGAAGAAATGATCAACCAGCATTATGTCCAACAGTTTTTTGATGTGTGACGTGGAGCTTATGAGTTGTTCTTGGAAGATTGCATAGTTGAGAGAACAGCAAACATTCCTTTAAATCTCATTTTCATATATATCGTTTACAAGTTACTTATTCTTCGGTCATTTAACACTACTTCTACATTCATTACATTTCCCTAAATTCTGTCTAGGTTTATATAGTCACATGTAAACTTATAAGCAAGCACTAGAAACTATATTCATTGGACATGATGTTAGACTAGCTCCCACTATCACTTTATTTCTTATAAATCTAGCCTAAAAATAGATATACTTTGGGGCTGTCAAGTTATAATCAATTTCATATTTGTTTTCAATAAAAACGTCCTTTTATTTTCCACAAAACTGTTATGATTCTACTTATTTTCCATTCTATATAATCAGTCATTTAATACTTCCAAGATAAATTTATTATTTACTTTTAATAAACATCAGGTTTTTGCTTCAATAACTTGCCTTAGATTTTTCAACTCTGCTGTTATTTAGTACCAGAAATCCTCCGAAATAATAACAAACTCTGTCTTGCCTTCTAAGTCAGATATATTTCAGAGAATTTCCAATTATCTTCTATTGAAAAAATAACAATTATTTGACACTGAAGATGCATTTCTGGTTGGTGATATATGAGAAGTTTGGCAAAGACAGCTGCTTCCCCATCACAGTTATGCTACTGAACCTTCAAGTGTGAGGTAACTTCCTGTTTCCGAAAGGTGTCGTGTTTCTTTCGATTTCTGTCACTTGGCAAAGAGTTTTCAGGGTTTCTCCCAGCTAGAAGGATCCTTACGTTACATCAGTAGCGTGCACCGAGTGCAGTAACATCTATAGGTCATCTCAGGCTGTGGTGAGGAAAGCAGCGCCTTTATTTCAGGTGACTGTGAGAAGCTCCAGCTCCCCAGGTACGGGCCGCTTCCAGCCCGTAGGGCCTGAGCCCGACACCTGCGCTAGAGCTCGGCAGGCCTCTCCTGGATGGACAGAGGCGGGTCCTCTGTGGGCGTCCGGACCCCAGCTCACCCACGCCTGCCTTCCGCTCATCGCCGCCCACTCCCGGGCGTTTCTCCGGGAGGCCTGGGGTCCCGGGCCTCGGCGGCCTGCGGGTGAGCTGCCCTTCCTCTGGGATCCCGGCGCAGGTAGGGCCGCCACCAGTACCTCCAACTTCTTCTTTGGAAGCTCTCTTCTCGCCTCCTGGGCTTAATTCTCGCTTCGGCTCCTTCCTGGGTTCCGGGGACCCCTTCCTTCCTTCTGCTTACGTTGCCTTACTCCAGGGCCTGGAACCCTAACTGGAGAGGCACTCCGGCTGCGCCCCACTCCGCCATCTTCCCGGAAGTCTTGTGAAGAGGCCTGCACAGCGTGCCACTGAGGTAGTATCAGTTTCTGTTCCCGCGTGACGATTGCCATGTGTTTGTGGCTTACAACAACACAAGCACACCCTAGTTCCTGTGATTCAGAAGCCTTGTCTTGAGTTACTGGCTTCTCTGCTCAGGCTCCCCCCCAGCCCGTGGTGTCCTCTGGGGATCCAGGGGATCTTCAGAGCTCACTCCAGAGGGCAGAATTTCAGGTTATCACAGTTGTAGGTCCGAGGTCCACATCATCGTGCTAATCGCTCCTCAGGAGGTAGCTCAGCTCTGAGAGGCTAGCCTTCCGACTTAGCATCAGGCCTCCTCCATGGTGTCTCCATAAGCTGCCTCCTCCTCAATAGATAGTTTATGGCATCAAGAAGAATAATCCTTCTTTTTAAGATCAATAACTATTTTAAATGTAAATAGGTTAAACTCTCCAATCAGAAGTCATATAATAACTGAATTAATTTTTCAAAAATATCCAACTACTGTATATTCTCTTTGCAGAAGTCTCAACTTAGAATCAAGGACATGTGCAGAATAAGTGAAGGGATAGAAAAATGTCATTTCATGCAAACAGTATGCAAGGGAGAGCATGGTAGCTGCACTTATATTTGACAAAATGGACTTTAAGTCAGAAACTACCATGTGAGACAAAGAAGTTTATGGTATACTCATAGCTCATGGTAAAGGTACAACAGCTTTAGAACATTTAAATGCAGAAAGCAAACTTTGTCAGATGAAGGGAGAAATAGCCAATAATAGTACTGAGAAAAACTCACTAATAAGAGATGTAAATATCCCACTTTTCAATGACACTATAGATTAAGTGAACCTAACTGACACTTATGAAACATACTCTGGGATAGATCACATGTAGGTCACAAAGAAGTCTCAACAAATTTAAGAATGAAAAGAGGCCAAATATGCTTATCATCAACATGTAATAAAACTAAAATCATCAGCAAAAGGAAAATTCACAAATATATTGAAATCAAACAATATACTTCTAAAGAACTAGTAGGTCGAAAAAGAAAATTAGAAAATATTTTGGAAAATAATGAGTGAAACAAAAATTAGAAAATATCTCAAGCAAAAATGGAGACACAACATACTAAAATGTATGGGTAATGGCAAAAGCAGTACTAAATATTTGGAAGTTCAGATGCCTATATTATAAAAGAAAAAATATAGTAGATAATCTAACTTTCAGAGAAAAGGACAGACTAAGGTCAAAACAACAACAACAAAAACAAACTAAAGCCAAAGTAAGTAGAAGGCAGAGAATAGCAAAGATTTGGATAGTATTAAAAATTTCCCCATGAAATCAGAGAAGGCAAGGATGGCCAACCTTACCACTTCCATTCAACATGGTACTGGAACTTTTAGCCATAGCAATTAGCCATAAAAAATAAATAAGGCAGCAAAATCAGGAAGAAGTGAATTTATCTTTGTTTTGATGTGATGTGATGTTATACATTGAAAATTCTGAAGACAAAATAATATTTAAACCAACAAATGAATAAATAAGAAATATTGTAGGACACAAAGTTAATACATAAAAATCAGTTATTTCTATATATTAAGAAAAACTTTTAAATGAAATGAAGAAAATCCCATTTACATTAGCAGAAAAAAAATAAAATAATGATAAGCTAAACAAACTATGGAGTTTAAAGACTTGTAAACTAAAAAATAAAAATACTTGATTAAATAAATCACAAATAAATGAAAAGACAACTCATGTCTATGGGTTAGAACAGTGAAATGATTAATATTCTTCTAGTATGGTAAAGAATGGGCTTTTTTATTGACGTTTTCAGCATAAACTATTTCCTTCTTTGGCAATTTTTGTATAAAGTAAGATTACTAATACTTGCCAGCACAGAGGCAGAGCTTAAAAGTTCATTTTCTTTAATGGTGAATTTGCTGAATATCCCAGTTTGGGTGGTTTAAAAAATAGAGATTGGTTTTCTCATAATCAGAGAGGAGGTGAGTCCAGATCTAGATGTCAGCAAGTGTGTCTTCTTTGATGCCTGCCTCCTAGGCTCACAGATCTTCATGTTCCAGCTGCCTCTTTAAATGGTGAGCACTCTGTCATGTGGCCCTGGTCTGTATTTGCATAAATTTATTTTTATATATAAAGGCAGTAGTTGGATTGGATTAGGCCACTCGTAAGATTTCACGCTAATTACTTTTTAAAGGCCCTATTTTCAAGTGTAATCATATATTGAGATATTGGGTTTTTGAACATTAACATTGGATTAAGGAAAGGCTGTGGTTCTTTCCACAACATTAAGGTGTGAAAAGTATGTAACAAGTATACGCAGTTCTTACCTAGTGTAACTTAGACTTGATAAAATTATGTAAGGAAAGAAAGCAAATGCAATTTCAATTCTTAGCAACGCACTTTATTTTTGTCTAGACTCCTGGAGAGATCTATGACAATAGCAGGCCCATGAGGTAAGGGCTAACCAAGAACAAAAGCACTATTGTGTTTTGTGACCTACTGTAAGTACTAAAAATATCATTATGTGTTTTATTGGTTAATTAATATGCATTAAAACTGATACATCCCAAAATGATCCTTCTTCAAAATTTTTCTTTCTTTTTTTTTTGGTCCCAGGGGGATCAAACTCAGGCCCTTGTGCTTTCGAGGCAGCCGGTGGCACCACTGAGCTAAATCCCTGGCCCAAAATTTTTCTTTTTTTAATAAATGAAGTAATTAAAAAATATCTGTATATCTCACAAGTTATCTTTTTAGTGAAGGATTAGAATCAAAAGAAGACTATAATATACATATAAAATAACAGCAAAGTAAATGGTTCATATCATAACCAATAATGTAAACATTTTTCAGTTAACTTTAGGAATCTTTTCCAGAAAAAATTAGATGTTATATAATAGATGAATAACTATGTGCCAATGTGTTAAATATAAAAATATATTTTGGTTTACAACAACTAATCTAAAATGTAACTAAAACATAATGAAATGTGTATAAATGTAACAAAAGAGCATGTTAAAATAAAATATTCTTAAAACATTACTGTCTAATCAACGAGTTATTGTCATTTCTGCTGGACCAAGAGCTCACTCTGATGCTCTTAGTTACCAGAAGAAATGCTGGTAAAGATACCTCCACAGCCAAATCTCTTCAGAAAGCACCTTGTCAGAGGATCTTACGTTTCTTCCCTGAGGCAGCAAAAATCTAATCATGGATCTCCCCACTTCCTTCCTTTGGATGACTCTCAAAAGAATTTTAATTTTAGAGCTCTCCACATGGTGCGTTGATGACTGTACCAGAGCTGAAATTGTCCCTCTTACCAGTCCTCTTTCCTTTCCTTCCCTCCTTTCAACAGTAGATGACCCTAAGAGCATTCTCTAATACTTTCCCAATGTATTCTTCTCTGCTGCAGAATTTTCCAGACAGTTACAAAGTCATTGGCTTTTGTTCATCCTTGAAGTATTATTTAAAAAATCATGTGATGCTGCTATCATGCTGACTTTTCCCAGACACCGTTTTTGAGTATCACCAAGTAACTAAGCCATAAACATATTCTCCCTCAATAACCATTTCCCAAGAACATATTGAGAAATACTACCTTCTATGTTTTTGAGGATCATCAGGCAGTGCTTTTACTAAGGATTGTTTTGTTTCACCTTGTCATTTTGTAGTGCTTCACCTCTGTCAAAGCTGTCCTTAGACAAAGAGCTTATAGCACTGAATAATTGATATATTATATAAGAAAGAATGAAAATAAACAGTATTTAATGAACAAATAAAAAAAAGACCAGGAAAATATTCAGTGAAGCCAAAGCATAGCTTTGGTAATTATGAACAGAAATATTATAAACTATAACGTAACAAGATTGAGGAACAAAATATTTAGTATTGATTCATACCCTACTTGCTTTTTTCTCATTTTCCCTTTTGTAGCATTCAGGAATTTTATTATTTCTAAATGTAAGAGAATTAACGTTAATGGGACCATTATTATTGTTTTTGTTTTTATATTTTCTATGTGAATAATTGGCTCTCATAGTAAGATAATTTTGCTCTTGCCTTGAAAAAATATTTTTTCTTATTAATAATTCAAACATTGCTTTTAGATTTTTCTTTCAAAGAAATTTCCAAACATACTTTTCTTTCAAAGAATAACTTTTGTTGCATTCTTAACACCCCCATTTGCATGTGTATCTACTTAAGAATATCCCTCAAAAAAGGAAGCTTATATAATCAATAGTTTTCATTCCATTGATATTTTAGATATATCAAATTAGAAAGTATTATAAAAATTTGAACTTGAATTTAAAATTATGTTATAAACACAAATACATATGAAAAATAAATTGAAATCAAATTATTCTTAATATCAAAGAGTAACCAAAATGGAAATACTTCTTAAGCCAATTAATATGTGAATTAAATTATGTATTCTTTATGTGCTCCTATTATGTTGACTATAAATTGCTAATTTGAGAAATCAGAGATGCTTTCTTGCAGAGCATAATTCCCATTAGGTAAATTCAGAAAACTGGGTGAAAAAATGTAAGCAATGCTGAATATCTCTTGATCAAGCTATGTATTATTGCATGCTGAGGGTGCAAACCTTCAGGGAATTAGAATTCATTTAATTCTTAAATTTTAATTTCTAGCAGCTTGAATATATTGCTATGATATATTGATTATGAAATCTCCCTTTAAGCGTCATTCAATCCTGGAATTGTTACTTACATTAATTAAACATTTGTTTCCTTCACATTTTTCTCCTTTTAGACAGTCTTTGAGTCCCTTATTAAAATATATCAGTGCTTTAATCATTCTGTCACTTAATATTTTTCAGCCACAAGTGTCTAGAGGTATAGGCATCCATTAAGCCACTTTACTGGACTGATTTATTAAGTTTCAATTTTAATTCCACTAGACAGTTTACAGATAATACATATAATTTCCACACAGTAGTGACACAAATAAAGAAATAATATATTTATAAGAGATATTTTTAAAAATGCAAAATCACATATCCCCTTTCCATTTTTATTTCAGTTATAATGTCTATAATGTCTATAATGTCTTTTGGATTGCAAGTAGCAATTTAATATATATGGGAATTTAATATATATGGGAAATTCCCAAAGGTGTTACCTTTCCAGTGATTATAAAAAAGGTTATTCAAACTTGCTTAGGCAAAGAATAGTCTACGTGTACCTGTGAGTCTCAAAACATGAGTAAAATAATGGCGAAAGAAATTTGTTCTTTCATGATCATGAACAGACATTGGGTTAAGTACTTTCATGTTTAGACTACTACAAAGCATATAAGGGTTGATCTTAAGTAAATGCATAATTAACAAGGTGGCTGAAAGAGAAAAATGTAAGAATGATAAGAGGAGTTTGCTTTATAGATCTGAATTAAGTCTGTAAGCAAGGATCCATTCTGGTAAATGCTTTGGGATCAAGTACCAAGCTATTAGACAATATTAGACATTCATAGTTGGATACTTGTTTAAATCATGAACAACTAGTTTATGGGTCTCTCTACTCAAACATTTTTACCCACAGATATGTAACTATATTTTTCAAAATTTCCAAGTTGAAGAAATAAATATTGCTCTTTGAGCTTATTTAATGCACAGTATAAGCACGTTCTAATGCAGTAGCTTTCACTCCTGTTTATTTTGCCTGCAACATTTTGTAGCAAAGATTACAAACTGGCCTTCTTTGGCCAGAACCTAGAACTGAGTTGTAATATATATGACCTAGATATTTAGCTAATGAGTAAAGTTGTGCCTGAACTTAGGAAAAGACTGAAAACTGCTCTTCTCTTTAAAAAGAAAAACTTGAATCTCTGACTTCATATTCCTAGCAGACATACAGGGCCAAATGACTTACTTTAGATATGACTCAGGGTTTTCAGTTTAGTACATATTAAAAGCCTTTTGGCTGAGCCTGTTTGACTCATTTTTATTAACTGGATGATAAGGACATTTTAATTTGTGAGCCCCAATTTAAGCCAGCACTGAAGAACTCACTGTTGTACAATAGTAGAAAAGGATGGGGAATTTTTTCACTTAATCATTCATGATTGTGAATTGCTATTCTGATCCTTTACTGACTGCTAGTTATAGGCAAATTCTGTGCCAGGCATTGGCAATGAGTCTAAAGATAAATGAGGCACAGTCTCTGGCCTGAAGGAGTTTGTAGTGTAGTAATAGAGATGGCTATATTAAAAGGAAATACCATGGTAGATGAATCCACAGGAAGCCACAGGAACACAAAGGCGAAATCTCCGGTGATGTTAGCAGGGGAGAGATTTTGGGAGAAGCTGTTTTGGAGGGTAACATACCCATAACTGGAGAAAATGAAATGAAGGAATCTTTAAATTGATCTCAGCTTGTTTTTCATCATTTTATTTTCTTTAAATCCCTGCTGCTATAGCGTTTGTATGAATATTGCAACCATGTGTTTTAAATTGCATAAATTAATATTTTTATCATTTAAATAGTAACCTTGAGCCAGATGTGGTGGCCCATGCCTGTAGTATCAGGACTGTGGACCGTGAGGCAGGAAAATTATGAGGCAGAGGCCAGGCAAGGTACAAACTGAGATCTGTGGTCTCAAGAAACAAGAGAACATAGGTCACAAGGAAAAAATATAAGCAGAAATTTTTATTAGTTTCTTTAGTATGTGGAATATTATTGGATCATGATGGATTCACATTCCTATGCAAAATCCTACATGGATGTAGTATATTGCAGATATACCAGAAGAATTTCCTTTTCTCTCTTTACATTAGAATTTCTTACACATGCCCAGTGAGCTATTATATATTAAATATGTTTGTTTTACGATTTCAAATAAATGCAACAGGACACTTTATTATACTAAATATCCTACAGTAAGTACTGTGGTGTTGTATGTCTAAAAAATCATTCATTTTTACTGCCATAGAATATTTCATTGTATGGAAATATAACAATATGCCACTCATTCTTCTACTAATGTATCTTTGAACTTTTTTGTTCTGTTATTAAAATGTTACTGTGAACATTTCTGGGAAAATCCTTTTGTAAACCCATGTTTTCTCCATGTGGATAAATAGGTATAAATAGAATTTCTGGTTAAGTATACGTTTAATTTTATAAGGTATCACATGATTTTCAAAAATGGTGGCTGACAAAAGACTCATTACTTTCTTTCATGTGAAAATGTCTTTATTTGGTTCATTCATAAAGGATAATTTGGCCAAATTCAAAACCCAGCATTGACATGTTTTGTTTTTAAAGTGTTTTGACACCTAGAATAATCTGCTAGCTTCTAGCCTTCACAGTTTTGGAAGAGAAGTCAGGAAAAGTGCCATACAGCTTGGCAACATTCAGAAATATTCAGCACATCACAGGGTTTGCTCCTACAGCAAGTCAGAGCTCCCTCCTGTGCCCTGGTAACCTTTGTAATGAGGGACAATTATGCCATGACAGGAATATGCAGTCATTCCAAGATCATTCCCTTTACTCATCACCCAGTTTTCCCCAGTGGTTAAATTCAAGCATAATATAACAAAATCAGGCAATTGAATGGAAACAGTGTGCATTTATAGATCTGTCCCATTTATCATGGGTAGATTCCCATAACCTCTCCCCAGAGGCAAGTAGAACCTGTTCCATCATTGCAGAGATCTATGGAAGCATTTCACGATTTTGAATGATGTGTAGAAACCTTCCATGTCTGGAAGTCACTCTGATACTTGTCTTACATATCATGCATACATTGAGAGTGTCATTAGATAATCTTTTAGGTTTTAGGTTCAAACATAATTAAAGAGAAAGAAAGTATATTTACCTATACTTTTTGTTCCTTCTACCCTATTGTCTTCCTTGTTGTTTCAAGATATTTTCTTTTATCACTTCTTTTCTGTTTCAAGAACTTTTTAAAGATACAATTTTAGAGGAGATCTTTTTTTTTTTTTTTTTTGGTACCGGAGATTGAACTCAGAACCTTGTACTTATGAGGCAGGCGCAGTGCCACTGAGCTAAATCCCTGGCCCTAGAGGAGATCTTATGATTACAAATTCTCTTAGTTTTTCTTTCCCTCCAACTATCATTTTCTTTTATTCTTGAAAGATGGATGCTTTGTTTGATTATGTCCTCCTACAGTTCATGTGTTTGAAACTTAATCCACAAATTATTTGTTAATGATGTTTCAAAATGGGGATCCAGAAAGGTTACTATAATTATAGAAGGTCTTGTGAGTGGGGCTACAAGGGTAATCTTAGTGGTTCTGTAAAAAGATGCGGAGGGACCCAAGCTCTCACTTGCGTTGTCTCTCACCAGGTGCTGCCCTCCACGGTGTTACGGTGCATCAAGAAGTTCCTGACCAGATGTTGAGCAGATGCCTCTAGGGGCCCTCAAGCTTCTCAGCCTCCAGAATTGTGAGCCAAAAATATTTATATTCTTTATAAATTACCCGGTTTCAGGTATTTTCTCAGGTATTTTACCTGGTCTCAAGTACCCCTAATCATAGGATTTAGGGTTGACAGTTACTATGTGTCAGCACTTGAATATGAGCCACTTCATTCTGGCCTCTGATAGGAAACCTACTGGTACTATTTTAATTACGTCAATTACGTTTTACTGATGTTTTGACGAGTACTTAAATAATATAAAACTCAAAACCTATGGCTTGTTTTGGCAAACATGATGCACTAAAATAATTTTTTTTATCCCTGCTTCTCTTCCAACTCTCACATGCCACCCAATTCACCGTGCATTCTATTTTACTTATCTTGAAATATCTATTTCTGGATTTTACCAACCTCTTTCCTAGTCTTTCCACTTTCATATTTCAAGCACCTGTGATCACTCACCTGTACTAACTTAGTAACTTCCTGTTTTTCTTTTTACACAGAAGGCAGAATTTTCCAAAACACAAACCTGTTCACTGATACTCTACTCCATCCCTACCTTGAACACAAATGTTTTCCCATGGCCTTAATATTAAGTAGCTAACTTGACCATGTCTCCTCTGAGCATAGTCTGACTTCTCCACCTAACCTCAGGTAGCTACTGACTCTTCCTTTCTCCACTGGGCTGAGTACTTAGAGCCTTTGCCACTCAGCTCCTGACTGGATAGTCTTCCTGACCCATGATTGGACTGGGCTTAATTGATGTGCTGTAATGTATCACAAGTGAAGGTTTATTTCATCTTTGAAATACACTGCAGTTAATTCCTCTAGTATAACTTCTAATGGAAATATATATCTATTCTTTATTTTAACCACATGTTTTTACTCATGTGTTTAGGTGACTATTGGTTAATTTTTATCTTCTTACTTGGACTTACTTCTGTAAGCACCGCAATTAGAAAACTTCTACATACACCACAGTATTCCAAATGTCTACACTATTTGTGGCATGTGCATATGACATGAATCTTTTTTGATGAATTAACAAAGAAATAAATTATAATTTGTAATTTTTATCTTGTAACAGATTTTTTTCACACTTGATAATGTGTTTTATAAATTTAATCTTCATCATTTATGTTAAAATTTATTCAGCAATTTGCTTTTAATTATGTTTATCATGTTTTCTTTAAAATTAAAAATGGCTCAGCCAGGCATGGTGGTACATGCCTCTAATCCCAGCAATCAGGAGGCTGAGGCAGGTGGATAGCCCGAAGTTCAAGGCCAGCCTGAGCTACATAGTGAGAGCCTGTTTCAATAAAATAACAAAACAAAAAATAGCCCATCTCCTGAGCTCTGGCTCACATATTATAATTATACAATGTTGACATATTGAATCTCTGATGTATCTGCTGAGTAGACTTGGGGCTAGTTTCTCAAATTAGCTCAAATAATGCTATCACAAATAATTAGAAATAAGTGATTTCAATATAGACTAAAATTTTCACTATATTGAACATTAAGTACAAAGATGACATTTACAATGCTCAATTTTAACTGGACAAAGATTTTCAACTCTGATCTGCACCATGATAGTGAGCTAATTCAATTATAAACAGTAGCTACAACTTACTTATTCTTGCTTGAACATTTCTGATTTTAAATAAAGTTTTTTCATACTTAGTTTATATTGCCTAATAACAATATGTATCTAATTTACATGTATCTCCTTATGGCTTATTTATTTTATTCATAAATCATGTATCAGTCAAGTTTTTCTAGTATAACAGGCACAAAATCTTCAATGTATAACAGATTTCACTTAGTGATCAAGACTACTATGTAGACAGGGTATTTTAATTTGTCTTTATTTTCTAATTCTGATAAAAATGCATGAGTGTTTTAGGATATACTACATATTGTATCTATTACATATATGTATTTCTGCCAAGAAAGTCAATACTTTTATTAAATTTAGTTGTGAAAGAAACTTTCACTGCAGAATGTGTATTATGGAATTTTAAAAACAAGTTTGTTAAGCCTGTGTTATTAGTCCACAACTTCTAACTAGGTAATGCCAATTTTAGGGTAACGGAGTAAAATAAGAAAATCTCCATGTACAAAACTGTTTCCTGGAAAACATCCTAGAGAGCTTTGTAAAAGCAAATAAAATCACAGTTAATAGCTAGTGCTAAACTTCCAGATCAAACATATCAAACAAAATCACAAATAACAGCTAGTACCAAAATGCCAAATTAAACAGATGACTGATTCTAGACCTAAGCAAAAAAAATTGTCATTTTATTGTTAAATAAGATTCTATTTAATAGTCTTAGAATTGTTTTACAGAAAATTTTCATACTAAACAATGTGTATATGTATATATTATATATAATATAAATATGTAATATATAAATATAATGCAATATAAATACATATGATATATATATATATATCTACTGAACAAACTACTGAATAAATCTATATTCACACTAGTGTGTTTAGAATAATACAGCATTTAAACCACTGGGATTTTACGCAATTTGCAAACAATTTAGACAAAGAGTATCAAGTATGAGGGAAAATAGGAAAAAAATTTAATTCATTGATATTCATACTTCTAATACAATTTTATAAAATTGATTTGTCTTTTCAAAAGGTAACATTTTGGGTAAAGACATCATAAATGTTTGATTAAATGTTCTAAAAATGCAAAATTATGCTAGGTGATTTAATTTACTGTTCTAGCCTTTAGAAATACTAAAAAAAAACTCATGTGTTTCACTTATAGCTAAAATGTTATTTTCTCTATCATTTCCCAAGAAATCAAATCCATTGTCCCAAATAAAAGATAAGGAAATATGTGTTAAATATGTAATGCAGTGAGATAAATTTAGGCTTCATCTAAATTACTGAGGTTTGACATCACTCAGCTTCCAACTTCTGTAGCCAAGGCAGAGTTTAAACCCAAATCATCTCTGTTTTGAAAAACATCTGTACTGGTTTCCAGACGCACAAATCCATCACCCATATGATCACAGACTTTCTCAACTTTTCATTTTTTCCAAATTTGCATGTTAGTCATGTTGCTCCAGATCTGGTCCATTATTTATTTTTACATACACTGTTCCTGAATATTCTGATCTGTATTCTCTGGCCTATATTCTAAACTGCCATTATTAAAATAGATCTCAATTTTAATATTAAATTGATTTTTTTCTTCAATTTTAAATTGATCTGCTTTCTTTATAATTTTTATTTACTTATCTAGGATCAAGCATATTTATTGTCTCATTCCTAAAAAAAATTAATTTCTCTACATACGCACATATACAGACAACTATGTGAAGCGGCTATGTTAATTAGCTGTGCTATTTCATTGTATATATGTGTATCAAAACATCATGCTGTAAAATTCCAGGGTATGTAATTTTTATAAAATTTTGTTAAGTGGGGCATGGTGGCACACCCCTGTAATCCCAGCGCTTGGGAGGCTTAGACAGGAGGATTGCCACAAATTCCAATCCAACCTTGAATTCATAGGGAACTCAAGTCCAAGTTTTGAGAGAGAAATTTATTTCTAAACATGTGAGGACACAGTCGCATATATATTCTTCTGCATATTCCTCACCTCTGATAACTTAGCCTAGGGACCCATCTGGCTGGGAAATACATATTCTTTGGGAGATCGTATATTTGCAAAATGAAGATGAGGGGATAGCTGGCATTTTGTCATACACTTCATTAAAAGTCTGAACATACCTTCAATGCCAGCCAAAAAACTTATTTTATATATTCACAAGTCATATCATTCAACCTTATTGTTGAATACAAAGCTTTCCCTCTTCTGGCTGAAAAATATAGCTATAATATTTTTTTGCCGGTAACATAGTTTTATAGTTTTTATTATTTCTTTATCAGAATTTGTCTTGTGATTTATTATAGTAAAGTGTGCAGATTTTTTTGGCTTTTCTGTATTTAATTTTTTTCTGTATTTTCATTTATCAATCTCAGAAGTCAGGTTGGTTTATACTGTATGTATATGAATATTTATACATGAATTTTACATGGTTAACATTACACTTGTGGTATTATTTAAAATATGTGTTCTTTCGATGTATTTTGTGTAGACAATTCTTCCTTAGATCTTTTGGGTTTCTGAAAGTCTGATATATTTTCCTGGATGTTTACTAAACTGTCTTAAGAAATAGGAATAGTGTTCCTTTAGGGTAAAGGGTTCATCTGCTTATGGCTTTAATACTTGGGGCTACTTTTCCCTTGCAGAGCATGGGAGCCAAGGGCAGACAGTGTTACTGGCCAGAAAGGAGGATGTCTTTCTGTGGGGGAGTGGGAGGTAGGCTTAGTGGCCATTATGAAGTTTCAGTTTCGCTTGTTTGGACTTCCTCTATTAGAATACAGGCACTCGTTATTCTGCCTTTATATAAAATTTACATAATTCAGTTTTGAAAATTATACTTTAACATTTAGTCTTCTCTAATTAACTTGACCTTATTTTTCACATGATAATTGAAAGTGTTTGTGAACATATAAAATACTCCATAATGCAACACAGAATATACATGGAAGGACAGACATACTGGAATTCTGAACAGAAAAATATATTCTCCTCATTTTTCTAAGGTCATTATTTCCTTGGAATAGGCAACCTGGTTATTTATATGTGATTCTACAGGGTTCACAGAGTAAGCGATGTAAACTTTATGTATTGATAGAAGTTTTACTTCACTAATAATTTGGAGTTTAAAAATGGGCTGCTTAATTTATAAGTAATTACACAAGACATACCATTAATCATGTTAATATATAGTTAGTACCAACTGTGCATATTTTCAGATGGAAAATGCTAAAACCACTTAGTGTCTTCAATTGATGGCTAGATTGAAAACATTGCAAATGTTTACTATATTGATTATCTGCTCTATTCTGTTGTTTACCAGTTGTATTTTCTTAGTTTTATTGAAAATGTAACAGTTGCTTTTGGTATTAGTTTTCTTTTTTCTAAAAGT